CTTTCCATCCCCGCCTTGTCGAGGTCATGAACCACTTTGGCGTTACTGTCGGCCAGCTTCACCCGAACTCCATTCGTAACTTGGTGGGGACAATCTCCCTATTTTGCGAACAGGGCTTCCCTTTAGACTTGGAGATATTCTCTTCCATCTTATTGCTTAAGAAGCAAGCGGGTCCCCTTCCCGGGTCTCCCCGCCTAGGTTTTAAGCTTTTACACGAACTTCCCAACAAGGTCCCGGCGTGGAAGCGGGATTATTTCAGGGTGCGAAGTGTATTGGGGTGGCCGTTTCAAACCGGGTGGGGAATGGCTGCCCCTGACTTCGGTGTTACACTTGATAAAGAGACGGCGAAGGGCCTCCGGCAATGGGCACGGCTTGGGCTAAAATGCCATATTTATCTATCGGAGACCAAGCTCATTGAGGCTGGTTTGAGTTCGGGTAGGTTCCTTACTCAGGTTTGTCTTGTTTTGCTTAGTTCTTTCGCCTTTTCCTGATGCCGAACTCATTTTGCAGGTGTGATGGACTTAGAGAGGACTCGCGGCGGGCACTTGTTTCACGACATGAAGAGGAGGAAGTGGGTTGCAAAACGAACTCGCGCTGAGGTGCCTACAGACGCGGAGCTCGAAGTATCGGACTACCCGTCTGTGGATCCGCCTAGGGAACCCGAGATGGTCCCTCCAGTCCATGAGGCGGCAGGGGCTCCTTATGCCGAAGCTGCTTATACGGGGGCTCCTGCTTACTCTGAATCCGCTTACACGCGAGTTGGGCCCTTAGGCTCGGGGGCCCAAGGCGAGTTCAGGAACGTGTTATCATTGAACTACGCTCTGCAGAAGTTTGTCGTGCTACCACTCATGCCATGGTGGTAAGTCAGATTTCTTGTCCGGCTCTTTGCTTTTATCCTTCTGTCGTTCCTTTGATCATTTTTGTTCTTCCCCTTTTGGTAGGTGAATTCTTCAATCCACGCCTTGGCGGCCTAGGTGGAAAGGAGCTCGAGGCAGGCGTGAGATGCCGAAGAGACCTTCCATGCTGCAGAGGCTAGGTAGGCGAGGTCTTAGAGAGATGCTGAGGCCATGGGAGTTGTGGTAAAGCATATGGCGGACCTAAGGCTGGACTTGCAGCATCAGGTTGAATATCTTCAGGAGGATATCCGGGAGACGATGCAGATTTTTTCCCAAGGCATTGAGGACGCCAAGAAGAAGGCTGTTGACGAGTACATTGCTTCGCCGCGCTTTGATGACCTGATGGTGGACTCGTACAGAAAGGGTTTTAAACTAAGCCGGTGGATGATCCGGAATACATACCCCGAGCTTGATATTAGTGTGATATCCACCTCGCGCATTACTCAGGAGATGGCCGACGCCGCTGATGGTGAGCCGGATTCTGAGGGCGAGGCAGGACCTTCGGGTGTTGTCGAAGTGCCTTCTGATGAAGAATGACCACCTCTGGGCCTGTGAGCTCGATATGTTTTTTTTTGTTCGAAATGTTCACTCCCTTATTTTGGAATGGAATCTCTTTTGGTTAAGTGTTGGTTGTTTTCTTTCTCCCGAACTGACCGTATCTGCCGAACTGACAATATGCCTGATCTGTTTCTTGCCCGGGTTACTGTACACACGCGGCCTGTTTTGGTGTTAATACTTAGTCTCTGAGATGCCGATGTCCTTATTAGTTCGTTGTCTCTGATAGCGATTTTGTCCACTTCGCTTGGTGGTTATAGGTAGTATCGCCTTAAGTTGACAATGTTCCACGCTCGGGGTACTTGTTTGCCCTCTAAGGTTTCGAGCTCGTATGCCCCCCCGAGCACTCTCTTTACTCTGTATGGCCCTTCCCAATTTGGTCCAAGTTTGCCCACGCTGGGTTCGGGTACCATGATCTTACGGAGAGCCAGGTCGCCGACGCGGAAGCTTCGCTTCTTTACTCTAGCATTGTAGTACCGAGCTACTTTTTGCTGGTAGGCTGCTGTCCGGATGTGCGCGAGGTCTCTTACCTCATCCAGTAGGTCGAGGTTGGTACGTAACTCGTCTCCGTTTGTCTGATCGTCATATGCTTTTAGTCGCAGTGTGGGTATTTCGATCTCTGCCGGGATTACCGCATCAGTGCCATAGGTGAGGTTAAATGGGGTCTCTCCCGTGGCGGTTTTTTCCGTAGTTTGGTGAGCCCATAAAACACTTGGTAGCTCGTTCGCCCACAACCCTCTAGGTCGGTCTAGTCGTGCTTTTAGTCCGTAGAGGATGGCTCTATTCATTACTTCTGTGTGACTATTTGCTTGTGGGTGTGCAACCGATGTGAAGTTCTGACGAATTCTCATATCTTGGCACCATTCTTGGAACTTGATATCCTCGAACTGCTTTCCGTTGTCGGAGATCAGTACCCGAGGTAGACCGAAGCGACATACTATGTTCTTCCAAAAGAAGTTCTGTATGTTTCGGGCTGTAACTGTTGCCAAAGGTTCAGCTTCTATCCACTTTGTAAAGTAATCTACCGTCACCACTAAGAATTTCCTCCCACCTGTTGCTGGCGGGAATGGCCCCAGGAGGTCGATGCCCCATTGCGCAAAGGGCCATGAACTGGTGAGGTATTTGAGGTCAGTAGCAGGCTGATGGTGGATGTTGGCATGCTTCTGACACTTGTCGCATTTTCTGACGAGCTCAATGGCCTCTGCCTTCATCGTTGGCCAGTAGTATCCTTGTCGAAGTGCCTTTTGAGCGAAGGCTCTGCCTCCCAAGTGTCCGCCGTACAGACCTTCATGAGTGTCACGGAGCACGAGCTCGGCTTCGGTAGGTTGCAAGCAACACAGGTAGGGTAGCGTGTAGGACCATCGGTACAGCCGTTCGTCTATTATGATGTATTTGGCTGCCTGGCGCTGCACCCTCTTGGCTGTATTGCGGTCCGCA